ACTTTGTTGAATGTATACTTGTTTTTTTATATATAAAAAATTTCATTTAGTTTGATTTATATGCACATTAAACATTTGTTATTCGGTTTGCAACAATTGAATAAATGTTATTTTTTTACATACTCCTACCTGGTGATTTTTTAAGGTGGTTCACTCCTATAACTTTTTCATTATTGTAGGTAGTAAAACGTCAATTGGGGTCATGAATTATAGTTCATTTCATATTATTCGACATATCTACTTGCTTTACCGCACTTTTGGTTTAACCGAGGATGGCATTTTCAAACGGGACACCCTGTATCTTATTCCATAATCGGTTAAGGATTATCATAACGAATTCAACGATACTGTGTTTGATAGGATTTCTACAAACGATTAGGAAGATATTCACATTTCCATATCCTCAATGAGCATATGAAAACTTCGAATGCAAATATCTTCGTAATCGTTTGAAATAACCCTATCCAATCCGGTACCGTTGAATTTGTTATAATAGTTCCTAATTCATCATGGAATAATATACATGGTGTTCTATATTGTTAAGGATATTTAGTAAATATCCCTGAAAAATATCTCATGGATATTTGTGAACAATATCTTATGGATATCCCTGAAAAATGTCTTATGGATATTTGTGAACAATATCTTATGGATATCCCTGAAAAATGTCTCATGGATGTCCCTGAAGGATATCCTATAGAAGTCCAACTCCTTCCACTCGGCACGTCCATTGGACGTCCATAAGATATACATCGGATATCACTGGATATTCTCTGGATATCCCAAATATCCTAAATGGACGTCCAATGGATGTCCATCGAATGTCCGTGTGTTGACTGGGTTGCAGCGTGTCACGCTAACATCACGCTGCTAACGAACAGGAAGGAATTCGGTGAAGTTTATTGTGTTAGAAGACTCATTTAGTTTGTAATAAGGACCATCAGATGCAAGATTTGTTGTTCGGTGCCTCAGTGTAATCAATATATAAAAGTACGAATTTATCAATACACAGCTTCTCCGCAGTTGCAAAATTATGCATTGTGGAGAACATTTCAAAAATTGGGAAACCGTTTTCCAATTATATGTCTGTGTGTAGTAAGCACTACTCAGAAACCGATTAAGAAGGTAATTTCATATCAAGAAAATATTTTTATGTTCAATCTATTTTTAATGCATTTTTTCATTCAAGGGAAATGAAATCATAATGCAAAAGTTCATTTTGACAACAGGCTTCAGAAAAGTACCTCGAAACTGTTTTTTTTACACCGATTTAATGTGCGCAAGACGCGTTGAAAATGTTTTGTTGTGTCCATGAAAAGGCTTCAAAAAGAACTAGGGAGAAGGTATATAGTTTTGTGACATATATCAAGGACATCTCGATAATTGCCGCCTGCGGCGGACATTGGCTGTTCTATAATAGTTCTATTCATGTGTGAACAGAACATCGCAGTGGAGGTTCAATGTCTCGAAATCTCGTACTTTCAACATCTCTGAGATGTTTTTGTGCTCGCTGGGTGATGAGGGTCGAAAACTCAAAACACGGCGTGTATACGGCGGTTATCTCTTTGTGAGGGCGATGTCCAATAATCTCTTTCCTAGTCACTTTACAGTTCCCTCGATATCACTTTCATCTTAAAGATTTTAAAGTTATAGGGAAAAATTCGTCTTTGAGGTGTCCTGTTCAAAGGGGCCTAGCTCCCTTAGGAAGCATATTTTTGGGACCCTTATAATTAGGAACTTTTTGCCTTATTTTCATACAAGGAATACGCCCCTGTATACGAACTTGTCTTGTTATTTTGACGTCAGCAACATATGCTCTTGTAATTTTTACACGTACTAAAGAAACACCCAGTAGAAATATGGTCAAAAACAAGAATTATCTGAAAGAAGGTTTTCTCCCATCGAAATTCGAAGCCTATATTTTCCATAATTTTCATTTTTGAAAATGAGCGTTCTTCAGTCCAATTTGATGAAATCAAAACCAAATACATTCTCAGTGCAATTTCAATGTTCGGTAATGTTTTTCTTGAATTGAGAAACCTCCTGAATACCTCCGCGTAGATTAGTTCTTTCCATATAGTTCTCTTTAATGAAACCGCGGAAACACACACCCACAAAAAAATAGTCGGTAGTAAATACCAAACGTTTAGTGAAATAGGCGCCAGTCCCCGAACATCGTGCAGCTAGAAGAAATTTTGTTGAAAATTATGGAAAGTGGAATATTCCTGAATGGTCGAATGTCTTGTTTACGGATGAGTCAAGGTTTTGCCTTAACATGGTGGATGGAAGAAAAAGAGTGTGGAGAAGAACTGGTGAATGGTTTAATCAAAATTTAATAACAGAATGCGAAAGTTTCAATGGTGGGTCCGTTATGGTGTGGGGAGGGATTTCAATGAATGGAAAGACACCCCTTCATGTTTTTCCGGTGAGGCAGTTCTTAGAGTTGGTAGAGGAGGCAATACACGGTATTCAAAGCAGTCATCCCAATTTATAATTTTGTGTTTAATAAAAATGTTTTTTGAAATTATTTTCATCAGTTTATTTCATTAGAAAATTGTTTCTCGATAAATTCAGAAAGTTGGTAATCTGCAAGGATTCAGCAAAAAAGCTGTAATTCGGAAAATTTAAGAGAGAATAAAAAAACAAAATGCTCGCAAAAGAAGCCTCTTTCGTATAGGGTGTATGCACTTATAATTTCTATGCCATTACTCAATTAACACACAGGGTGAGTCAAAAATTAAGAATAAATCATGGTTCGAGTTATTCCACCACCATCTAGGAGGCTTTGAAAAAATTTTCACCTCTTTATTTTTTTTTCAAGACAAATGCATTACCTACCAACAAATAAAAAAATCGACCTACTATTTTTTTTTCAAGAAGATAGGTCAAATATCAAGTGCATCACTTTTTTTGGAACTGAGTGTATAAGCATGAACATTTTCATGAATTTCTTGCAGCTCATTCTCTATATAAAGATATTGTGAATTCGTCGTGACATACCCTGTCCCGTATCATAGAAGGAATAACGAAAAGACTGCGAAATTGTTCAAATGTAGTTTCAGTAAAAAACAAAATATAAAAATTTGTGATATCAACTTAGGTATCAATGGTTTTTTCCTCTCTGAAAAGCAAAACGGAGGTTATATTTCTGGAGGGTAGCTTGCGTTCGGGCCAATTTTCGATGCACCCAATTTTGGATTGGCTCAATTTTCGATTTACCCAATTTTCGATTCGCCCACCATCTCCAAATATACCCGAACGATGCGTTGTTGCCAAATCTGAATGAAGAATCATTCTGGGCATATATTATTATTAAATATTTCAATTTTTTGATACTCATAATAATTATGTATGGTACAGGGTGATTCACCATGAATGTCCCCCCCTCTAGCTCGGTTATTTTTGAACCGATTGCAAAATTTTAAATATCATCTAACATGATTTTCGATAGAGTTTTTTTCCACTACATCAGAAAATACAAGGTGTTCGGAACAAACGTCCAATTTTGGATTCACTCAATTTTCAATTCGCCCAATTTTCGATTTACCCAATTTTCGATTCCCCCAATTTACGATTCGCCCAGTTTTCGATTCGCCCCAAATTCGATTGACCCAAATTGCGATCGACCCGAATTTCAACTTAACATAAGGAAGGAAAATATTCTTTTCAGCATAAGGAAGGTGACTACTTTTTCCAAACTACCTAACCTAACCTCTACTTACCTAACCTACCTAACTTACGTCGTAACTCGACCGAATCGAAAATAAGGTGAATCGAAAATTGGGGGAATCGAAAATTGGGTGAATCGAAAATTGGGTGAATCGAAAATTGGGCGAATCGCAAATTGGGTGAAACGAAATGTTGGTCCAACGACATATTTGAATGTGATATGATTTCTGATAATTCTCGTTTCATTGAAACCGAGGAAATGTGGCATTATTTGACAACAACGCATCTTTATTGTATGTTGTATGTATGTTCGGAGACGGCGGCGGGTGAATCGAAAATCGGGTGGTATTAACATTTTATTTTTCGACAGTAAAAAAAGTAAAAAACAGCCCCACAGGAATTTTTTTTGCAGCTCAAATCAACCGATACATTTTCAAAATCTGAGCAGATATACAGGGGGTAGCAAAAACACGATACATAACATTAGTGCAAGGCAGTTTCAATGAAGTGGGCAAATTATCGGTAATAAGTATGTATACTAATATGTCCTACAATTCATTTCATTTATTGATTCGTTATATCAAAACTGCTTTGCTCATTTAGTGAAAATGCTGGGCGTAAATGAATGCGCCGGACGTAAACCTATATCTACTAGATATAATTACATGAAGTGGGGTATTTTTGGAAAACCTCTTCGAAAGGACTTTCCAATGGTGAGAAAATATAGGGTGTTCTTTTCAAACATCATAAATTTTTTGCTGCTCCCTGTATATTTTATCAAAAAGTGTTTTTTTTAAATTGTCTGAGATTTTCGCAAAATTCTTACTCACGGGACATTTTTCGTTAACACAGTATCTTCATCAGGTGAAATACTGGTACAATGAAATTTTATTGTATTCAATTATTATTATATTCATCGTTTGTGAAGTTTTTAAAAAGATTTTTATTTAGACAAAGTATTTTATTTGTTCTAATCAGAAACCATCGATTTTTTCTGTGGTAAGAACAAAGGAAGTTGAAGAGAACAACAATAATATTAACAGTTGAATAAACATAATATACATAATAGGATGATAGTGAAAACGTTTCTTTCAATTCAAGAAGTGAAAAAAACCCTGAGGTAGTTTTTTATTTGTTCCCGGTACATTGCAAGTATGCAACTGTCAATATTTTTTTTCAAACACAGTGTTAACATAATATACATAATAGGATGATAGTGAAAACGTTTCTTTCAATTCAAGAAGTGAAAAAAACCCTGAGGTAGTTTTTTATTTGTTCCCGGTACATTGCAAGTATGCAACTGTCAAAATTTTTTTTCAAACACAGTGTTAACACAGATTCAACTCGTTTTATTTATTTACAAACAATATGATAATAATTTATACAGTGACGAAGCTGCCTATGAATAAATAGAAATACCCGCTGGAAAAGTCATAAAATAAAAACACCTCAAACTATAATGACTCAACAGCTTCCTTATCCGTCTCTTCTGCTATGAAAGAAGTTTCTTCTGATATAGATGTCACCAAAGTATTTTCTTTGGGATTTTGATTTTCGCTAGAGGTTGAAGGTTCAGCTTCGATCACAGTCCTAGGTGTATGGGGCCTAAGAACAATTAAAGAAAATAAAATCAATTCATCATCGTTGAATTTAAAAACTATCTTACTAGTCACTAAGGGGTATAATAACCTGAAATTCACAATAGCGCTTCAATTTATTATTATTATTTTACCAAAAATTAGATAGCATTCACTCACCGGCAGAACAATCCGGATACCAAAAGGATTAACCGAATTGGGCGCCCTGTAACTTTTTTAATTCCTGTCCGATTCTGGTGAAATTTCAACCAAATCGTAGACTGATGTTTTGAAATTCACCCCTGAATTTAAGTTTCCCAAAAAAGCTGATAGCTTGATCATTAAACAGTATAAAACAAATTTACTATTTCACGCCCAACTCCTCAACGTCCTGTGGCAAAAGTGAGTGTTTTTTTTTTATCGCTTGGAGCGCACGAAAGGAAACCTAAATTCATTTTGTTTCAGATTGAAGTGTGTTCCCTTCTCAACACAATGGTTTTTGATTTACGTCAATATCTACTTTTCAAGAGAAGATACAAGTGTTTTTAGAGAGTGTGATTTTTCCAAAATATTCCGAACACCTATGAACTTATCGATTAACAACTAGAAAAAACATCTAAAAATCGATATCACTTATTTCCAACCCGTTTTTTAGCACTCAACAGCAAAGAGAAACCTTAATTACTAAAAACAATCTGAAAGCAGATCTCCTAAATGTAGTCAATAATGAGTCTGCCCTCCTCGAACTTGAATGGGCGTGTACACCTTAGTAGAACTTTGAACTCAAACCATGTGTATAATGATCCTTTTATACATAAATAATGATTGACGACATACTTCGATAGAAAAATTAACTGGAATGTTTTATTTTTGGACAAGAATAATAGTACCTTCTGAAAACGGACCCTCTTCTGACGTAGAAACCTCATCTCGCCATAGTTAAAAGAAAATACCAAACGCCCGACGGAGGACTGAGGCAACTGATATATTAATTCTTTCAACTGTGATCTCGCGCTAATTCACTCTGTCAGAAATCATGTATCATTCATCTCTGTCTGGAATATTCTTGTTTCAGTATTAGGGTTTTGATGTAACATCATCGCCTCGTTTTCAGAGGTCCGAAAAATCGGGGATTTCAATAATTTTTTATAAAACGTAGGGAGCTCACAGCAAGAAACGGTTTGCGGTGGTGAGCTAGTTTGGGTGAGTTCTATCGAATTATGAATTTTTTTTTTGTGATATAAGCCCATTACAGCATTCAACTACCCTGAGCAAAGAGTTGATAACATTTCTCAAGCTGTTTTGAGGAATGTGCAAGTGGACTGATAATGAATTATTGGCATTCAAATACTCCACTGTGTCGTTAGGAACCTAAATTAATTTTTGCAACACTTCTCACGCTTTTTTATGTAAAAAATGAGTCTCTGAATAAAACATAATAGGAGGAACTCATGATATTATAGTTTTTTTTGAGCAACCAGCATGTCCAAATATTTGGGCGTGTTTTCCATTTCATCGAAGAGAGTGCGCACTGACAGATGCGCTTTTTTGTCGTGACGTCACCAATTGTTCTGATGGAATTTATGCTGGAACGTTGGAACAATGGATTATACAACACATTGATGGAAAAAACGGACTACGTTGTGTGCCAGTCGTCATGTATCTTCAGAATCAGAAGAGGCTGATCTTCTAAAATCTCCCAAGAATCTCGAAATCAAAAAATTCCTAAAAATTTTTAATATACTCAAAATGTGTCAATTGTCATGTCAGTCTCCTCCAAACCGCAGGATTCTTGCTAAGCGATTTGAAAGTGCGCATTTTATTACAACAGTTTGATGGATTTCGGTGAACATTCCAGCGGAACAGTTCGATGGTTTCAAATTGTTGGAATTACAAAATATCGTTTAAATGTTGGAGACTTGGCAACATTGTGCTGAGTGCTGAGACCTGACAAGACCACGCTCACAAGTCGTGCGCCGTGTTATCACGTACAACGATTCAAATTTCCTCTAGTGTGAATTAATATAATTATTATTTACACAAATTTACTATAAGCAATAGGCCACAAATCATAAGGAAACATCTTGAGACAATGGGGAAGACCACTGAGAAAAGAAATCCGTGCAAACCTCTTTCAATCGACGAATTATGATTTACGTTTTATGTACAATCAATATTATGAGTTGAAGTTGAAGGGAATCGAATCTATATCGTTTTGAAATCAGCATATTTCATTCGATATTTCAAACAGCCAAATATGATGGTGGAGTCGTGACGTATTAGTCCCGAGCTGTAGCTATCTCTCTCTGATACCTCGTCATTCTGCAGTGTTGCAGTGTGATTGGTCAGTTCAAGGACAATAGGCGTGTTGGGAATAAGACGTCGCACCAGTCACACCAATGAATTGACAAATTCCAAATGGCGCAGGAATTGTGTGTTTTGAAATGGACATATTCTAATTAATTTTTTCCATCGTCTTAGCATGAATGACAAAATTCAAAATCAATTCGCTGGTAGTTTTTCAGTATAGAGTTCACGATAATGTCATTTTGAAAAATCAGTGGTCTCCCCCATTGAATTTATATTTCTAATTAGTAAAATTACCAATACTCAGTTGAGAATTTATGAATTATTGAATAACTAATAGTTATGAAGTCCCCTATCGTATTTCAACACGTGGCAACTGTGCTATGGTCTGCTCCTACTTTACTGGCGATCAATTTCTAGCCGTTTGAAAATTACCGTGGCATTATAGATGATTTAAGCACCTGAAAATCAACGAAAAATTTCTAGAAAATATGAAATTGAAAGGTATTTGAGTAATGATTCTATTTGAGAAATAAAACAAATTAGTCTACTCGCCTATTACCTTGAAAATCTCTGCCTTGAATTTTTTTAAGGGTGAGTGGTAGCTGTTGAATTGTGTCTGACAAGGCCAGAGGGAGGCAAATAAGCCGTTGAAGTTAATCCCAAAGATGCTATACGTTCTGAATAATTATTGTTGACTATTCTACTCTTGTTCTCAAGAACCAATCAGAATCGACCATTTTCAGGAATTCTCCTGTATTCCAGCGATGTTATTTGTTTACTAAAATATATTAGGCTTGCTCTACCAATACAGAAGCTGAATTGACCCACATGTGACCAACCAACCTCGTTTTTTAGCGATAACATTTTTGACGTTTGAAAACTTCCGACAGTTTTGGAAAATGACTGACAAGCACTGACAGTTTGACAAAACCACAAATAAATAGTGGCTTTATGAAAAATTGAAATGGGGCGAGCATATAGAGGTTCTGATACAAAAAATACCTCCAATCATTGGAGCTTTGCGAAGATGCCCTAAACTTGACAAAGAAGTCATAAACATAGTACTTCATTCTCATATACTCAGTCGTTTTACCTATATGATAAACGTTTGGGGATCTTGTTCAAAAAATCATTTCAGTAAAATATCTGCACTTTATAAGAAATCACTGAAAGTATTGTATCGCCTTTCATTTGATATCCCAACAACTGATCTGTATGTGATAACAGAAAAATGTTCATTGGATGAATTATATAAAAAAGAATCTCTTAAAGTTTCATATAATATCATAAACAATAACCTAAAATCCAATTTTGTTTTGATAAGAAATACAGGAATTTATGGTCATCACTACTTCTATAATTGGCCCAAAAAAAACTTATTCACGCTGTTCTAGCTGGATTCAATAAATTACCACATAATATAAAAAACTGCAGACATATTTCAAAATTTGAAATTGAATTAAAAAAATACATGATTTATTTATTACGAAATGGATACAATTGATACTTTGCCATCTACTGATTATTCCCTGTGGCTATTTCTATGACTTGATCGATTTAGCATTTTTAGATTTTTTTGATTTTTTGTCGTTGTTGTTGTTGTCACCTTATATTATTTTATTATTGTTGTTTGTAATCAACTTCCTCATACCAGAATTTTGTTTCTGACTGGAAGCTATTTTCTCAATAAACAATAAAAATAGTTTAAAAAAAGCGGGAACTGACAATACGTGAACATCAACAGTTAGTCAAATTGAAAACGTATTGTAGAAAATAATAAGACGCAAATTTGTAATGTTTTTAATTTATACAGGCCTTTGAACTACATATTAGACGTATTTGGAGTTCTAACAATGGCAAATAATCTGGAAGTTTGTATACAGGAGTAATCGATTGGATCATATTCAATGAAAATATTCACAAGATGGCGATACTTCCGGTTGTCCCAGAAGTCGAAATCAACTTCGTTATTTTAAATGAAAAACTATAATATTTTTGCTCTTTCGAATTTCTCATGTTATTTCAAGATGATCTTTATCAGTTTTCCCTTTACCTAAGTGTAGCCGTTCTCAAAATATGCGGACTTTTAAATTTTTTTTTCAGTTTGCACCTTCCGCTCCGAGAATCGATGACTCATCAATTTTTCAGAATCATTTTGAAGAGTAGGAAAGAATTTTTTTTATATACAGGGTGTCTCAGGTTTAACTCGTCCAACTTTGACAATCGATAGCAAAAATTAAAATATTATATACGTATTTTTTTGTATTGTCGTGGGGTGGGGGGTGTTAAAGTTCACATAAATTCTTGGTTTTTTATTTCTTATCTCAGTTGAAGTGAAACATACCAATTTGAAATTAGGTGATCACTTTTCTATCGGCAATATGAACAGTTTTATTGTGAGGATGTAGGATTGAACCTAATGAAAAATCATTATCATTTCGTCACATCACCTTTTGTTTTTCATTTGTTTCAAGATCTGAAAACAATAACACCCAGTGTAGCTCAGTCTCCTGTATTGTAAAGGACTGTTCATATTGCTGATAGAAAAGTGCTCACCAAATTTCAAATCGCTAGGTTTTGTTTCAACAGAGATAAAAAGTAAAAATCAAAAATTTATGGGAACACCATGTATGATGGAAACAAGTTTCTCCACCACAAAAAAAAATAGGTGTACATTTCAATTTTTGCTATCGATTGTCAAAGTTAGAGGAGTTAAACCTGAGACACCCTGTATATTTATGATCAGGTAAAAAAGGTTGAGAAATCATTCAAATTTGAGAAAACGATTGGGAAAGTTCAAGTAGCTACAACTATTTTTTTCCAAATGGAGTACCAATTTTTTCTCCAACTAAATGAAAGAGAACACCTATGTCTGATAGTTTTCAATTTATGATTTTTTTATTCTGATAGGAATTCATCACTAGCCTATAAGTAGCAATTACTGTTTTTACGTATTCTGCCAAGCAAATGAGAAATATCATGATTTTGTTGAATAAACTCCTTTATGTCAGACCATATGTAGAGGGAAGAAGATACAAGGAACCTATATCTAAGCGAAAAACATATTTATTTCCTTGTTTGGCAAAACGTACGATATGCTTCTAAATCATTCGAGGTTATGTCTTACTGTCACAGCTAATCGAGTCTTCGTACACTGAATATACAAAAACGTCAAATCGAAAGTGTCAAATACATTAGCGAACTCCAATGTTTTCTACCTTGGCATTATCGCAATTTTGGGAGCCATGTCAATGATAGAATTAGGTGCTTTCTTCATCAATTCCAATGGAATCTCTTCCGACCTTGGTCTTGGCATTCTTGGTGATCCTTCTCTAGATCTGCCCCTGGTAGAAGAATTATCTCGAGATCTGATTTCCTTCTTGCCTACTGAAGGTTCTGTAAAATAAAATGAATAATATGAAACCGAAGCAAAGTCATAAGGACTTTTCCAGTGCAAGATTGGTTTATTGGTTAATATCACTGGAGGATATCAGGGTCCTAATCCAATATTGAGTTTATTATATGCCTAGCTGAGAATAACAATCTGAGGTCATCACATCAACAAAAATTAATGATGATATTTCCACTAATTTTTCGAAAAACAAATGTTTCGAGTCATTTGTGTTCCTCCACCTAATCGTTAGAAACCTCATAGCATTTCATTGTGTGTCCCATCCCATGCTCATCAGAAAACTCGATGAGTATGGCATTAGAGGAGTACACCTCCCCCTTTTTTATCCAATTGATAACTAATAGACAACGATGTATAGTAATGAACTAAAATAACGTGCGACGGTCGTTATCTCGAGAATACAGGAATATGACTCGGACAGTGATATCACGGGTGTGATTAAGCGATGAGGTGTCCGATACGTAGCGGATAGAGAGCGCTCTCGGTCGGGATCACTTGTTTGTTGATATAATTATTATTTTGTTGGACATAGTTTAGGGTTTAATAAGTTAATTTTATTCTGGTATTGAAGCGGCTGTGTAGTTTACAAAGGTATCAAATTTTGAATTAATAACAAATGGGGTTCCACAAGGCTCCGTACTAGGTCATCTCCTATTCATTATCAATGTAAATGATCCTTTTTCATATAATATGTACTCCTATGGCTGCCACCAGCTCCAGTGATAATACAATAGGTTTGTTTGCCAATTATAATTTTGCTCAGACTAAAGGTGAAACTTGGTTCAGAAGTAACAATATTTAAATAAATGAAAATAAAAAACATAAATATATTATTTTCTACAAACAACTCAGAAGCACTAGGTAAAAGTGTTGAACTTTCTCAAAATACTTATTTTTACTTTGTAAACTAGAGAGTATCATTGGTTTGCAAGCTCTATTAGCAGTTCATTATGCTTCTATTCACGAATTTCATATGGTAAATTCTATGGGGAAATAGTGTAAATGCTAAAGAGGTGTTCTTGTTACAAAAAAAACAAAAAAAAGTTGAAGTTGAAAGTTGTAGGGGCGTCGATAATATTTTTCCTGGGGGTTAATGGCTGTTTGGTTTAGGTAATGAAAAAAAAAATTTTTTCTAGTCATGAATAATAGCGTGTTCCAGAATAACGTTCGTATATACTACGAGAGCTGATTCTGCAGATGAAAATTCGGGAAAATGATCCGTTCAACGTGTCAGAAAATGATTCCTGTAAGGGCGCTAGATACCTTTGGAGTTAGGTCCTTAAATGGAGATTTATTCAATTATCTTTGTTATAAGTGATCCTAGAATCACGAAATGTTGTATCTAAGAATGATTCGATCTCACAAATCGTTTCGTGGTACTGAAAACATGATTTGATATACAGGGAGATATGAAACTCGTATCTGAAGCTATAAGAATGCCCCAAGTTTTTTTGTTTCAAAATTTATCTCAGAAAAGTGTCATTTTTCATTTCCCTGACCAAAAAAATTTACTTAGTTAAGTTTGTGAAATTCATTCAATTTCTATTGCGAATATTTCATCAACAAATCCACAACACAATCAACTCTAATAAAACAAAACTCACTGAAAATGTGAAATTTTAATTATCAAGTTCGAATTTCTTATCATAAGAACACATGCTCCGAATGTTCGTGAATATTTTCGAACATCAAAATGAACAATGAAACTTTCAAAAACCGTTCGTTTTACTACATTCTACCACTACCGCCAAAAATCTTGGACTTCTGCTTGATACTGACTCGAGATTTGATATGCTTGTAAATAGCACCATAAAAAAAGCCTTCGGCAGCCTTAATCGACTATTAGCAAACAATATTCTTAACATGAAAACTGAAAGCATTTTATGTGAAGCACTAGTATTATCACATCTTAATTTCGCTGATGTGGTCTACAGGCCATGTTTAACATTACTAAATGAAAAACGCTTACAAAAAATCCAGGTCACAGGTCTGTATTCAATATAAATAGACGGTCACATATCGCACATAAACTCACTGAATTAGAGTAGTTGAGTATCAGAAGTGAAGATTTCTCCATGGCAGTTGTTTATTTCATAATTTAATCAAACTAAAAACACCCAAATGTCTGTATCGAAAACCGAAACCTCGTGCGACATAAAGATTAATTAACCATTCCTAAACACAAAACTTAGCAATTTGATTGATTGATTGTCTTTATTGCCCCAAGAAACATTATTGTTTATAATAGGGATATATACAACAAAAAGTAATTTTCCCATGATGCCTGCAAGGTTATGAACAGTCTACCTAGAAAATTCAAATCTTTTGGTGTAGGTGTATTCAAAACAAAAAAGGTGACAAATCTGCTACTGGATGACAAATTAATCATTGATTTCAGAATAATTGTGAACAATTATGATACTTAGACGAAATGGAATTTTCAAATTTAATAAATTTACTTTTTTTCTTGTTAACATGGGACAAGCATATTGGCATGCATTTCTCCCATAGTTGGTGCCCTAAGAGGATGTCCAAAACTTTACACAAATATAGCAAATACCGTTCTATACTCTCACATCCTTAGTAAAATGCTCATAAATATTTGGGGTTCATGTTCCAAGAATAATTTCAAAAAAAAAATCTGTACTATATAGAAAAGCAATAGAAGTACTGTATCGTCTTCCATATGACACCCCATCAAATCAACTTTATGAAGAAACAAATACATTTCCTCTGAAAGAGCACTATCTGATAAATACTCTCAAAATTCCTTTTGATATCATCAACAAACACCTCAAATCTAACTTCATATTGGTAAGGAATTCCAAATCCATGAACATCATACTAGATAATATGAATTGTTTCATCTTGATGCTGCTAATTCTACACTTGGCCAAAAAAAGTTCACTCACGGAGCCATCTCAAAATTCAATAAATTACCTGATGATATCAAAAGTTGCACAAATATCACCCAATTCGAAATTGAAGTCAAGAAACATATCCTCTTGCAAAAAAAAAATCAAACTTGAGTGAATGATTTCATATTCACTAATTTATTTCATCATGCTTTACTTTGTTTTGAAAATTAAAACGACTTGGACCTTATAGATCAACATTCTGTACAGCCTCGAAAGACGACATCTTTCCGCACTTTATCAAAACTCCTTCATCCATAGAACGGCTAGGCTCTGGAATTCATTGCCTGAGGAAGTATTCCCAACAACAAACAATCTCCAGAAGTTCAAAAAAAATCCAATACTTACCTCCTGTCCCTATCCTCCCTAGGAACGCACGATGTTCTTTGAACATTATAAAAAAAAGCCTGTACATAAAACGGAAGAATTACACTCATTTTATGAAAATTCATCTGAAAAGGAAAACCTGGTGGAACATTTATTGAATAATTTCTCACCATTCTCCCTCCTCAGACTCGTCAATCTGCTGGGACTCTCCCCTCCGCCGCGCCTCCTCGCCTCGTCCGCCCGGTGCAGCACCCCGGGCGACCCTTCTCGCCTCGGCGCGGCCAAGCCGGGCCCCGCCCGCGGCCCGCCCAGCAGCGAGGGGCGGCAGGCGCGCGAGGGACGGCCGCCCGCGAACGCGCCCTGTCCGGCGAACGCAGGCGAGGGCGGGCCCGACTGGCCGGGGATTTCCAGCAGCCGGGCGATGTGTTGCATCTTCTTCTGGCGCGCCTTGATTCTGCCCTGGAAGCATTCGGGGGGCGAAGGGATTAGTGTTTTGATGCGGTCTATCACCATATCGAAAATGGTTACGAATATCAATATGGATGTTGAGATAAAATAATTTTTTTTGTGGATGTATGATAAATTGACATCCATCATACAGGACGTGGAAAGAAATTCTGAATTGGAGCAGCCATTTTTTCAATTGATGGCGAACAAGATTTGGTCCGATTCCATTCAAAATTGGTAAGTGGGGATTTTTGAGGTCGGAGGTCATGATTTTTTTGTTTAAATTTATAAGTTCAAGATGGCATCTTCCAAATAATTTTTTGTTTTTGTATAAATGACGATTACTCCGTTGTTATCAACACAAAACTATTACTGCAACATATCATCTGTGAGAGAAAAAAAGCTATTTGTAACTAAGTCATAGTGAGCTATGACCTACATTTGGAAAACTAAAGTTGGTGCTGATATGTCAAATTCTAGAAGAGTTGGTATAAATTTCATATTTTTTTCGAAATCACTTTGGAAAACTGCCATGAGAATGTGAAATTCTTATTTGAATATTTCCATAAATAAAGAAGTTATGGAGGAGACATGAAAATGATCAAAATCTGTTTTTTGCGTATAAAACAAAAACGAATGGATGTTATCAAAATATTTTTTCACATTATAGTTGGCCTTGACAAACTCCACATTTGGTGTCATATAACCGACCTCGTATCTCTCACCGTTAAAAAGATACCCATGGTGAGCATGGTAACTGGGACACACTGTATATAAAGAAATACATTGAGAATTCGCATTCTCCATGTGATGAAAATATTAATTCTTTCTCGGTTTATTCAACAGAAAAGAACTACTGTCCTGGCTATATGCCACGACGAATATTGAATTACATCTATTGAACACACACGATAAGAATTTGAAAACAAAATCTTCTGAAGTAGAGAATTTGCATTCTCCGATATCAAATGGGCTTATATCACAAAAAAATTTAATTCCATAATTCGATAGAACTCACCCAAACTAGCTCACCACCGCAAACCGTTTCTTGCTGTGAGCTCCCTACGTTTTATAAAAAATTATTGAAATCCCCGATTTTCCGGACCTCTGAAAACGAGGCGATGATGTGACGTCAAAACCCTAATACTGAAACAAGACTATTCCAGACACAGATGAATGATACATGATTTCTGACAGAGTGAATTAGCGCGAGATCACAGTTGAAAGAATTAATATATCAGTTGCCTCAGTCTCCGTCGAGCATTTGGTATTTTATTTTAACTATGGCGAGATGAGGTTTCTACGTCATGAGAGGGTCCGTTTTCAGAAGGTACTATTATTTATGCCCAAAAATAAAATATTCCCAGTTAATTTTTCGATCGAATTATGTCGTCAATCATTATTTATGTATAAAAGGATCATTATAAACATGGTTTGAGTTAAAAGTTCGACTAAGGTGTACACGCCCATTCTCTTTCAAAATTATAAATGGAATCATTCATTCCTCATCTACAAATAACTTGATCCATTACAATATTCCACAATATTCCACTCGCTATTATAACTTGTTCCATACATCCATACCGAACACAAATTACTATCTTAGCTCCTCTTTACATCGATGCTTGAAAAGTTATAACTCCATTTCAAACATAATAGAGATTGATATTTTTTCCGACCCTAACAATCTTTGTGAACAAACTCAAGAAACATTTTGTTCCAGCATCCAATTGATATGTTTAAAAATTTTCTTTTTCATATAAAATATATAAAATCTTTGCACTGTATAATGGAATCGAATAACAACATGACATATTTAGTATACCTATATGTGAATAATGTCTCTGGGTTCGTCCTGTTTGTATTCTTGTTTGTGAAAATAAAAAAATTAAATGAAATAAAATTATGAGCCACCCTGTATAATTTGAGGGTATTGAAATTCTTCAGAAATATTACAAATTTTTTTATCAAATGATATTTTGATTAATTTCCCTTAAATTTCATTATTGTTACTACAGTGATTTTTTCGGTATGCATCTGCAGATGACATTATTTCGACAAAAATATTTATAACTTTGATATGATCGAGATATAGTCAACGATATTTTGGCTGTGGATGGAGGTCACAGGGATGCTTCATAAAAATGTGCTAATAAACAGGGCACTACATACAACCAATTATCTCGACCCTCCAGATTTTTTTTGGCGCGCCCTTTATAAGCAGCAATAATTTCTAGTTATGGACCATACTGAATCAAGCTTGAGAAAAAAATACTCAAACCGTGCTATGAATGCGAAAGTACGAGGGTGGGGTGGACCAAATTGTAACACACTGTATATCTTACGACTAGAACGCTTCTATGGTTTCATACTTCTCCTGTAGAATTTGCAAAAACCGCTTACCGTGCGATTCTATCTAGGTAAGCAATATCGAAAGGTAATGGCCATTCCCATTGCGGAAAATTGCAAACCCAGCATCGATTCCAACTATAAATAGTACCCGAGTCGATAAGGCATCATTATTATTGATACAAGTCATTAGTAATTATCAATTGAAAATGTTCGCCGTCTCCCCGACTTCAATCCTGCTGGTCCACCCCACTAGAGTCTCGAGATCATACCCGTGTGTTCACCGAACACGCCCGATCGTTACCTACGCGGTGGGGAGACCGAGACGTAAGCAGGCAGCTATGATACAATACAATGCTGTCTCTGTTTTTGCAGTACGGGGTGGGCTACCAACAGTTTTCTTGATCACATTTCAACATTTTTCTTTCTAATAAATAAGAAACATTTGATAGGCATCAAGTGATCTACTGCGACCTATCAGATAATGAAAGTGATGATTTGATTTGCAATAATTCGCTATGTCACGACAAGTCCTACATGTAAATAGCGAACCACTCATCGAAAATCATGAAACTATATGTACATATTATATGCTTATGTTTTGTTGGCGAGGACGCTCGTTTTATTAAAATTATTTTCGATAATGTTCATCTGCTTCACTAAAAATTATTATTAGTAGTTAGTTGTAGTAGTAGTAGCAGCTTTGTTATTCAAAATGGAACACCTTTATATTTTATTACATTTTTCGATTCTTCTAATTGAGCTATGATTTCGGTGATCAAGCTCAAGGTATACCTATACGAAGAATGTGAAAAATCGAGATTTTTTTTGTATCGAAACTATACAAAACCTATATTCATTTGTCAAAATGGCTTACATGTGTCCCTATCCTAATATTCTATTTACTATCTACTGATGCCATTTAATTGAAACAAATATACAGGGTGGATCAGATTTCAGAATTATATTAAAGAAGTACTTATAGTATGCCTACTAAAAAAATATATATATTTGAAATAAACAAAACAAATATATCACATAAGAAAACACACTCTAATATTCAACATAAAATAAAATTAAAATCTTCAGTGAAATACACTGCTCGGGTCATGGACCCACCAACATTTCCGGAAAATGATATTAGGAGGCAAGATAGGTTGAAAATCACTTCGGATTCGAAATCAGGACGTAACCCTGTACCTCGAAAACGAAGCAAGTTTAGGACACATGTATATATGACCTTTATTCATCATATTATATCACAAGGAATCATCCCTTGAATTATTTCGGTGTTATTTAGATACACCCTGTATAGATCATTCTTTATCCCAATATAGTTATTCAACATTTTTCCCATAGCGAAGTTCAGCAAATACCGATGGCGAGAGCACTATGTTTATTGATTTGATGTCTACCTATAATATATGTAAAACAAGAAGGCACAACTACTAGTGTTCCGTTTCGAAGTACATTAAATTGACAAATTTGACTCCAAAATAATTCAGGCACGCGCCAATATTCATAACGTTCCCCACCGCTTAGGGAACGATCGGGCGTGTTCGGTGAACACACGGGTATGATCTCGAGACTCTAGTGTCCACCCCAGGCGAGACGTTGTAATGTAAGTACTGTTTGTTTCAAGTGTTGTCTTGCGTTGGGTTTCCTTTTGGCATGCCATTATGTTTTTTTTTTCTTTGCTAACCTGCCATGTGTCAAGCATTTATTAACGACTTTTCCATTTAATCACTAAATGTCAAATTTCATATGAAAACTGTCTTGACCCTTTATTTGGGGATGAATGTGGTTGGGTGGTGAAATGATCAAAACCACTCGTCAAAGAGCCAAGCGAGTAGCTAAACTACGACCTATAGGAGGGTCAACATCTGAGTTGCGACAATATAATCCAAATTTCCCATTGAAAAGTATATAGCCGTTTTCTGATTTTTCGAAAATTGTGTCCATTTCACCACGAATTCTCACGCCGCTACTGTTTATAGACGCTTATAATGTTGTGGCTGATGCATGATTTGTTCGTCCACCATATTGGATACGCATTCTAGCCGTAGGATGTAAAGATTATCAGTGTGCTGTGCTGATTACACTTAACTGTTTAACCACTATCCAAACCGATTTTTTAAATCCTTCGACACCTGTTTCGCTATTTCGCTAACTATGTTAGAATCTTCAGGAGAAGATTAAAATTTAAAATATATCATTCTAGACCGCTGCTTACCAACTATGTATTATAGGTGTAAACCCAAACATGACAGATATTGACTGTGCGGTAAGTGTCTTTCACTCTTAGGTGAAGATAATAATATAATACAATATATACTAAAATATCTGTATCACCAACAATGGGCTAATACACACTATACTACATTCCAAATAAGGAGATAGTAGGTGGAGCTACGTCTAAAAATATATTCACTGAAGAGATAAATATATGGCCCTAATTCTAAATCATGGTCATTCTAATGATCAAATTCCACTTAGAGTTCCCGTTTATTCTCAGGATTTATTGTAAAATATGAAAATACGACAAAAAAATGATGTGATGATATTTCCATAGAGAAAACTTCAACATTTACGTCAGGTCATACGTCATAATATTAGGCTGGTGTAATATTGCTTCCAATATTGACCAATCAAAGCGAAGGTCAATGCTTCCCTATGATTGTCAATGCTGTCTGCTAAGTTGGAATGGACTATAGTCGAATAGTCAACTAACAAATCCAATCAAAATATCATGGATTACTAAACAGATATATAATCATTGTTTTTAAAATGTCTCACCTTTGTTAATCTCTGTTTAGCAGCCATACATCTTATATTATCATCAAAAACGAACTTTGCGTTTAGTAATGGCACTCTATTCGTTGTGGCCCCCGATATAGGTCTATGAATTGTAATGTGCAAACATCTTGAGTCATCTTTATCTCCCGTCACCTCAATATCCTGTAAACCAAAATAGTTCCCTCAATATTCTGTAACCAAATTAGTTTCTAAAGTGAATAGGTCACACAAGGATTCTCACGTGTGCCTCTGGTGGCAGAATTTTAAGCAGTAAGCAGTATAAGAGAAATTACCAGCTGTCATCGCACTTTATTTCTTCGCAAACAACAAAACGAACAAATAATAAATCATATAAATAATCACTTCACTGAATATTTGTAAGTCGACATCCAGGAGCAATAGCTAGAATAATTTAACCAGAACCGACATACATAACCACAAAATTAGATCAGCTCTCGCGGTGTGCCTGTCAGTATTTTGTGTGGTGTGGACGGGCTCAAAGTATTATGCGCTGGCAAGATATAATCTGCTACTTTCCTAGAAGATATATCCGTTTTATAAAGAAACGAATTCATTTGCAAAATAATGACTGACAAGTTATGATTATAATTTTGTAACATAACGAAAGTGGAAAATTATAGATAATATTGTAAAATGTCATAATTTATCTTCATTAGTAATCAACTTCATCCAGCAAATAAGATAGTGATAAAAATTATTCATAATGCATAAAGTAGTATTGAAAATCCTATTATATCCCATTTCTGTTATAATACAGTTAAAATGTATTCAAAAAATAATTTCCGGAAATCTAGACATACTCATGATATCGGCAACGTCGTACTGTGATACAGGGAATCGTTCAACTCTGTTTGAACGTGGATTTTCAGAAAGTACATCATAGGAATGGTGAAGGAGCCAAGTTGCTCTTTCATTTTTTTTTTCTGAAGTGAAATTTGATCTTACGAAGAAAAAAAAGAAAAAAAACGTTTATATTGAATTTTCACAAACTTTACAGTGAGATAAAAAGCTCAATATTGGAAAGTTCCCCATTGAACAACCTCGACCTTAAGTGTCATATATAAGACAGATTTTGAATTGTGCCATTAGAGACGCGCGTGTAATCTTTATGCCGCCAATATTCAAACGTCTCTTCAAAATGCAAAAAGCAGAAGGATGGGTGTACTAGATTATTCCACTCATTTCAGAATACACGTTTTTGATTTAGTTATAATTTATCCGAAGAACTCAAAGTGTGACCCTTCTAGATAATATGTCATGTAAATTAGAAGTTGGTTGAGGAGTGCCTCAAGGATCAGTGCTTGGACCTATTCTCTTTTGATTATACATCAATGACCTAGCGTTGATCGATATTATAGGAAAATTCACCCAGTTTGCAGATCACCACATTATTATGGCACAATGAAAAATAGTTATGACTTACAACAAACAATTAGCAACGATATTGCCATGGTGAAAAAGTGGTGTGATTCCAATATCCAATGTCCTTCATAATCTCTAAAATAAGTGTCCTCACTTTTAATTGCACTCTGCAGGAAGAATTTCAGTTAGGTAATCAAGTGATTAGTAATAGAACAGATACGAACTTTCCAGGTTCACATATCCATAATCATAAGTTTGGTGACAAATTGACAAATTCAGGAAAAAGTTGTCAAGTGGCTGTTATGCAGTCAGAACAACATCATGGGAACTTGGTATGGATATGGCTAAAAATGTATACTTTGCTCTCACTGATTCACATTTGAGATATGGAATTCATATAGTAAAACTTAGTTTGATGGGATTTTCGTCTTACAAAAAAGAGTCGTGAGGTAAGTGTGTAAAGCTGAATTCAAGGATTCCTGCAAACCATTATCCATAAAGCATAAAATATTAAAGGGCTTTCACGCTAGGTTGATAGTTGCGCAATACTTGGTAACAAAGTCGTGTCAAAACTGCACATCGAAAAATGCTAGTAAATTTCGAAATGGGCGAACCACGTTATCGATTTAAGTTGGCAAAACTGTACACCGATGCCAGAGATATTTGACAATTCTAGAAGCGATTTGTTGTGATCAGCTGATCTCTGTGAATAATTCATTACTGACAATTTGTACTTTCAAGGAATTGTTTGTTATTTATTTGAGGATCATTGGTAAAATTTTATTTATTCAAAATGCATAAACCATTGAATGCGGAGGCGCAGAAGATGGTGGTATCATTGATACAACATTTCGAAAATAAACGTGGTATCGATGGCCCATTACTTCCACTGACTGCTGTGAGCGATGTAAGTTGAATGATGGTATAAATAATGATATTTTTTCTGTGACGGGAAAAAAGTTTGGCATTTCATCCCTGTTGGCAGGTTATAAAATGTCACTTTTCATAAATGAGAACTTTTTTCCCGGATATATATCACATATATATCCTGTTGATGGCTTTTGTTGTGCTATAGTTCCGAAAAATGAGTCAATAATACCGTCTCCGAGAAAGAACTACAAGTCCTTTTATCTTCCATTCGACTTCGCGGTTACGTGTATTACTAAACAACCACTGAATTCGCAACTTTTTGAAATCAAATCACAGAATTAGACTGACAGAAGTGACATCAGATATTTGATTACTTCAAAGAATGATAAAGATGCCTACAACGCGGTGTCCCTACTGTTAAAAACTTGAAATTTCACGTCGATAATGTTCAGATTTCAAAATAATGTAATATCTTCTCAATATTGATTCGTCCTCCGCTACGCGTCGGGAGACAACATAACCTGGAGCTAAAATCTACTACTTTTTTCCCTTGTATAATAAATAACTATTTGTGTTGTCAGAATGATCCAAATATGATTTGTCTGAATTACAGAGAGTAGCTGCTGCATTAAAATTAAGTATCGCTACTGTATGGAGAATATCTGCCAAACAGGAATGGTAATGATTTGGCTGGCCCCAAAAAGAACAGAGTAAGAGAAACACCCATTTTTGACCATAATGATGGTGAACAAGTCGCAATTAGGGATTGTATCTATGACACGTATACGAACAGTGAGTATTTTCACTGCAAATTAATGATCATTTTAGGTAATACCTATAAGATTATTTCTGTAGGTTTGGGTTAGAAAATTGTATTTATATAGTGTGTTGGTTTCATGAGTTTTTGTGGGTTTTTCTCATGAATTATATTGAGAATATTGAAGTAAGGACAACTCTTGTTGCCTATTTCATAATTTCCAATATAAGTAGATGCACCACTATTTATTTTCCCACGAAATAAAATCGATTGATCGAATTTCTATTTCATTTCATCAATTTATAGTAATAAAAAAACATTCGAAATGATTAGATAACCTCAAAATTGAATTCGAAGTTTTTATTATTTTCACTCAGTGAATACTGATCAGTTTTATTAAGAAAAATGAATTCAAGCCATAATTGTGTATTGGTAGGAAAATAAGTTATTTTTAATGTTAATATATGTAATTGTTTGTTGATATTGTTATATAATCAATCATTCTTCAAGCTATTATTCTTTATAAGAATTTCATTATCATTAAATTTCATATTCAGTATATTGTTTAGGTTCATGGTTCTTCAAATACAAATATTGAAGTTCATTTATCAACTTCAGGTGCTGATTTTGAAACATAAATGGACGGCTTTCGAGTTATGGTTGCAAAAACATTATAACGTCCGACGATCGTAACACTAGGCATACCCATATTCGGGCGGTTGGTCATTCAGTCATTTCCTTTCAACTGGCAACACTGTATTCGTTGACATATTGACGTCACTATCAACTTAGCGTGAAAGCCCTTTACCTCTTTCATGTATTTTCGTTATGAAAACCGAATGTCTCTCATGCACCGAAAATATAAAAATGAAAATCTCAATATCACAATATTACTACACACTATGATAGAGAGATGGGCACATAATTCGAATGTACCAATACCTAGCTCTACATTATTAATTGAATCTTTCATTTAAAATGGCAGAGAATTGTATTGTTAGCGACGGTGTTCAATCACCCCTATCCTCCCTAGGAACGCGCGATGTTCTTTGAACATTATAGGGATTCCCTCTCGTGCGCTCCAAGCGATAAAAAAAATTTAAAAAAAAAATGAGAAGAACGCCTAAGGAATGCCTTATCACAAACGGCCTCGACGACTCATCGGTATTCGTAATCATCGTGTGATAAAAGACTGAAGCAGGTTCAGTCGATTAATATCGTAGAACGAATCACTTGTCGATGTTGCATTTTTATAAACGGTCATCTTTGTACAAGCCGTCCTGAGTGAATAAAAATGTGTTTTAGTGTTGAAATTGTATCTATCTACGATGCCTCTTTTGCCTGATGAGGTAAAATGTATCAACAACCAAAAAATTAAAAAAAAAACTTAGTCAAAAGTCTACTAATGGAAAAGGCTTCCTATCATGGACGTTTAAACATATACGTCCATGCTTCCTACTCTTCGGACGAATTCTTTTCAGATAAATTCCTAGAATATATCAAACATTGTTATACAGGGTGATTCAAAATTCGATGTAAATATTTCAAGGATATATTGTTGGGATCAAAATAGGACTTTTTCTTCACATAAACACTTGTCCTAAAATGCAACTACTTGCTCCAAAAAAAAGGTTATCTAAAATTGTGACTGAATTAACGGATCAAATTTTTTGGAAATTGGCATGCTTCTGTCATTTTAGGCACTTTACCTCCTTCTTGCTTCAAAAATTATGTAAACCCAGTTTTGGAGGAATCGGATAGAGGGAGGGGTGCATTTTAGGACACATTGGCTTCATTCTTATGTAACTGATCATTGTCAAGCAGTAATAATCGGTAATCAAAAATCTGAATATCACCAAATCAAGGATCTCATCTGGGGCCACTATTATTCAATATTTATATTAATGATATATCTCAATGTTTTCGATTCTCAAATTTTTTAATGTATGCGGATGATCTAAAAATATACCACTCAATTTCCGATGCTGACGACATCAAACTATTGCAGCAGGATATCAATCGTTTTCATGATTACTGTGAGCTGAATAGTTTATACATTAACTTTGAGAAGTGTTACCACATTTCGTTCGGACGCGGGAAAAGCATTTTGAACCACTCTTATCAAATATCTTCTCGTCCCTTACAAACTGTTACAGAAATTAAGGATTTAGGAATAATATTCGATTCAAAAATGCTTTTCGATAAGCATATATTCTACATTGCTAAAAAAGGTTATAAAATGCTAGGTTTCATAATGAGAACTTGTCGTGAATTTAAAAACACACAGACACTCCGTACCCTTTATATGTCATATGTCAATAGTGTTCTGAGTTATGGTTCATTAATATGGAACCCTGGTTACGATATTTATATAAACAAACTTGAACGGATACAGAATATATTCATTGATTACGTCAATAAAAAATGCTTTCCATCCAACCCCAGCAACCGTAACTATGTTCGAAATGAGCTGAACTTATTATCACTAGCGCATAGAAGGAACATTTCAGACGTGAAATTTCTTTATAAAATCATAAATAATTTAGTTGGTTCGCCTGCTATCCTCAGTAATATTTACCTTACAGCTCCTACTTATATTACAAGGAATCATCACATTTTTCGTTACGAACAATCTCAAACAAATTATTTTTTGAACTCTCCAATGCATAGATGCAAAATATTATACAACACTCTGTCGAATTCTATCGATATTGATATTTTCTCTTACTCACTTTCCAAATTTTCTTACATTTTGAAAAAACATTTCCTGGCTTCACCTACTTGATTTTGATATATTTTAACGTTTTAATATGTACTGAATAAAATTATTTCACCCTTGTTTGTATCAACACACTACAATCACTACATGTTGTACCTATACTCAATCATTTATAATTACTCCAATTATTGATTTTCATCAACTTTGTAATTGATATTCGATTTGTTTAGTTTTAATATATCTGTATGATGAGATATGACATATCTGTGAATACTGCTTTTGGGTTAGTCCCGTTTGTATTCCTATTCGTAAATAAATAAATAAATAAGCATATAAAAAAAAGAAAACGTCCTTGAAATATCAACATCGAATTTTGAATCACCCTGTATTGTGACGTATTTCGATTTAGAACTTTCGACTACATTTTGTGGTTTTATATATGCATGTCGACTTTGTTAATGAGAATTCTATTCTTTCGACAAAAAGTATATTTTGATTTGATTTGAATGAGAACATTGTTTTTGATTTTTTATTTCGTTTCCTTATTGGTAGTTTGATCAAATATGTATAAAACAATAGTTATTTATTATACAAGGGAAAAAAGTAGTAGATTTTAGCTCCAGGTTGTGTTGTCTCCCGACGCGTAGCGGAGGGAGACAAAAAACCGTGAGCTAAAATCTAATATTTTTCCCGTGTATAATACACTATTTTTTTCTGTGACAGAAGGAAGGACGAATCAATATTGAGAAGATATTACATTATTTCGAAATCTGAAAATTATCGACGTGAAATTTCAAGTTTTTAACAGTAGGGATACCTGCGTTTTATAGGCATCTTTATCATTCTTTTGAAGTAATCAAATATTTGATGTCACTTCTGTCAGTTCAATTCTGTGATTTGATTTTGAAAAATTGCGAATTCAGTAGTTGTTTAGTAATATACGAAACCGCGAAGTCGAATGGAAGATAAAAAGACTTGCAGTTCTTTCTCGGAGACGGTATTATTGACTCATTTTTCGGAACTATAGCACAACAAAAGCCATTAACAGAGTATATATATGTGATATATATCCGGGAAAAAAGTACTCACTTTTTTCCCACGGGAAAAAAGTAATTTATGAAAAGTGACATTTTATAACCTGCCAACAGAGATGAAATGCCAAACTTTTTTCCCGTCACAGAAAAAAATAACTTTCTAGCAGCAGGCTGTCATGGATGTCATATTTTCATATTGAGAAACTCCACACAAGATCTTGATAGGCACTTACTTTTATTTTATATCAGAGAATTTTATACAGAATTTTGTAGGTCGGCATTTCGAACACTTTTAATATCAGTGAGGGTTGCTGGGCTGTGTGCACGTGAATATACACCAAAGAAGGGAAGATTTGTATTTCGTGCAAGATAATTTATTCAATATTCGTAGCAGAGTGCTTTTGACTGTTGAGTCATCATCAGTGCGTACTCGTCAGGTTAACATGGAAATTCGTACATAAAAATATCTTTGGTCCAGTTTTAAACTAACGATATTAAGGTAAGATACGTTACAAACAAATTAAAATGTGTTTACCCCCTTTTGGGAATTCAAAATTGTTGTATTAAACACAAGAATCACAGATCGACATAGCTGTGAACACGAAACTATTTATCTCTTGCTCTCCCTTTTTGATTTTTTCAGTAGGTGGCCAAGGGAATATGTCAAAATGCCAGACGACAGCTTTGTTTTCACAGACATTTCGACCAAGGATGTCATACATCATTCCTGAAAATTACCTGCAAGAACCCGACTAGTTTAGCTACACCCCATCCTAACCTCTTTGTGTCCGGCTCGACTAAGATGAGTTGCAGAATGTCGATCACGAGGAACCTTCTCATTTTCGTTCCATCTTTCCAGACCACTGTGCAGGCAATCAAGTCAGAGTTATCTGGAAAGGACAACCATTACATGAGGGGTTGTATGTGTTTTGGATGCCACAAGACTGAATCAATCACTAGTATCTATTTGACATAATAATAAGTTGTCTCCATGCGTTGAAACTGCTAAACATTTATCAAAATTCCAAGTTAGTTATAATGTCTATATGGCCGAGCACAAAACTAGCATTTTTTCAAACAAACAGAACTGTTATTATAGCATTAGCTTTGGTAGCACCCAAAGACAAAATCACAATTATGCAAAGCAAGCGTTTGGAAATACGATTATCTCATCGCGACTAGGCAACATTGGCATTAACAAAATACCTATCGGTAAGCTGATTCTATCTTCTAGAGTATGAGAGTGATATAATATTTCTGTATGATCTGTAAAGCTTCTGGCGTTAGTTCAGGGTTGTGGTAATCCATATACTATACATAGGAGAAACTATACAGGGTTTTTCACCATGGGTGTCATTTTTTTTATGTTCTGGTTCCCACGAAAAGGGATATCCTGTAATGTTCAGAGAACATCGTTAGAACCAAGGGAAATATGGTAGGAATGTGTGTTCTTCTTAAATTTCTGGAGGTTATATGCCACGGGGAACACCTCCCTTGGCAATGTGTACCAGAGCCTCGCTGTTCGTTGGATGAACGAGTGTTTGGAAAGAGACCACGAAGGGGTGCGAAGCCTCAACTCGACGGGTTAATCTCGCGGGGACTGCCAAGGGAGGAACAATTGTTGATATTTCAGAAGAGCATCGTCCATGGAAATATCTATAAAATAGAGCCAGAACGCCAACTTTTCTACGGTGTTCCAAAGATGTGAGTGAGTGTGTGAGCGAGGCATCACCCACGCGACGAATTGCCCTTTTTCCGACAGAATCCAACAGTTTCAGGGTATGTTTGGGTGCTGCACTCCAAATATGGGAACAGTATTTCAGGACAGGTCGGATATGTGCCTTATAGATCATAAGCAGCTGACTGGAAGTGAAATAGCTCCTGGCCCGAAACAGAAAAACCAAGTTTTTGGGATGCACTTTTACCAATTGATCTCACGTGATTTTCCCAAGAAAGGTTATTGCTGATAGTAATACCAAGCATCGAAATGGATGTCTTCAAAGGTATGGTTACTACTGACAAGCTTATGTTGGGCACAGTGAGATTGGCTTTTCTAGAGAAAAGGCTGCTTGTGTTTTGTTTGCATTGAAATCTATCAAGTTATTGGATCCCCATTCGAGAATTGTTGCCAAGTCCATATCTATGTTGTCAACATTTCTTCCTCGTTCGTTTCTGATTTGCCTGGCTGGTATTGGAGCCCTGGAAGAGAAGGCGGTATGAATGGTACTATCATCCGCGAAGCTGTGTACTGGACATAAAGTTGCTCCCAACAAATCGTTGATATGGAGAAGAAATAGTGTTGGTGCAAACCAAGCAACATCTGAATCTGGAAATTTGTTGGTATGTATGAATTGACATAATCTACACGTTTGAAATATTTTAAACGATACGGCGTTGCTGCTTCTACTAGAAAGTATCAGCAACTTTGATATTTCTAATAGAACACCCTATCTGTACTTCATTGCATTTTTAGATTCTCCCTGAAGGGCTGATTTCATCAATGCATCACACTTTGGGTCTAGCGGGAATGATTACAGAGTTATAGGGTATTCAAAATCGAGATTTTTCAACTTAAGGATTTTTTTTCAATTAAATGTCAGTAGGTAATAAATCAAAAGTCAAGATAGGGACATGAGGGTCGTTTTAACCATTTATCATTGCCGCTAGACCCTAAGTGTGATGCATCGATGAAATCGCTCTACGGGGAGAATCTAAAAATGCAATGACATACAGGGTGTTCCATTTGAAATATCAAAGTTGCTGATACTTTCTATCAGAAGCGGGAACACCGCATCGTTTAAAATAGTTTAGACGTGTAGATCATGTCAATTTATACAAACCATGATTCCAGATTCATCTGTTCCTGAGTTTGCCAGAAACGTCCAAATTAACGCTCATCGAGAAAAACCCTGTACAAGATATAAGTTTTATCATTGTAACTTCCACAGGAAGATCTCTCTAGGTCAACTGGCATTGATTCATGGGTCAAAATGAAGGGTTCAACTAAAGGGTATACCTTCGTGAATAATATGAGAAAAATGTCAGGTTAGGTTAGGTTAGGTTTCAGTTCTTAGTTGTCCGCAAGATGGCGACACTTTTAATTAGATTTCTTTCCTGACAGGAAACAGAAAACGGCGCTTATACACTGCTTGCACCAGAAATAACAATATCATAACATTTATAACATAACCTCAAATCAAATGAGATTAAATTTGAAAGTACGAAACTGTAATTGTGGGGAATTTTAATCATCATCAGTTCTACCAACTCAGAATTTTTGTTGAGATTTCGGGTAAAATGCGACCTATTTTCGGCGATATTGAAAAGAATCCTTCTGCCAAGTAGGCCGTAGGTCAAGAACTTTGACCGAAAAACAGTACATGGGATTTGATAGGAGTTTCTACACCATTATCTGTTCATCCTGGCCTAGACGTATGCAAATCGGCTAGCGCCCGGTTAATTTAGCGAGATGTGACTATTCAAATAGATTTTAGAGCTTCTTATATAATACAATTTTCAACATTACTTTCTACCGATCCAACAAAAATACTTTCTTTCCGATAATCCAAGTCAATCTTTGTGTCCCTTGAAGTGTATACCTTCGTAGATAATCGACACCCCTATTGTTAGGCGCGGTACAGATGACACCTTTTCGCATTTCAGCTCATAGCGCTTTGGGTTCTGATTGGTCACTCATAATAACAGAAAGTTCGTTTCAGGGTCAATAAGCGAAAAATGTTTAAACATTCAGAACAGTTTATAGAAAAAAGCTGATATTTGTCCAGTAAAACCCCGAAATAGTGAATGTGAACAGCCGGCGCTGTAAGTTATGGGTCAACGGTCCATAGGTCTATAGCGCTTAATTTACAGGAAACGCTAAAAAAAAACATTTGATTTTTCCTGGGGTTTTTATGAATGACCCCCCGCGCCACGAAGATTGGGATCCCCTGATTATATATATACGCTTCAAGGACCTCACTATGTGCCAGGAAATGTTCGTGAGTTGACTGATGTAAGGCACACATGGTGTATCTTGAAGCCTCTATTGATAAAATGGTAAGACACATACCTTGTGCCTTGTGGCACTTCGTGTTTTAAAGGATGGATACATACTGAGTGCATAATTTCAGTCCAGTGAAAAATGTTTTAACACAAAAGCAAAAGCCAAACCAAAGCACCACGTACAAACTATAAAAGCAAATCACAACAAACAAACTAGTGATTGTTATTTTCCTGTGGCTCAGACACACAACGAGGTATACTCAGGTCCAGTGCTTGGTCGATCTGCACGCAACACTGGGGATTCGTCAACGGTAACTGAGTTTCCACTTCTCCTGTCAATGTTAGCACCAGGTTCCTTATCAGGAAATACACCCTTATGGCCCTTCTGGCACGTTCCACCTGAAAGCAATCTTTTCGAATAATTTTGCCGGGATTAGGCTGATTGGAATTCAATGAAAAATGAGGCCACTCCATTATGGATACATTCAGCGCTATCTTATTTCTGGAAATGCCCATTCTTTGAATATCAAGGGCATGCTAGTTTATATTCCCCTAAGGAGGATTCACTGAGGATTTCAAAAGACCGAGATTGTCCATAAACTTGAGAAAATATCAACATTATGACCAAATTCACTATTCTCAAGTTTTTGATATTTATTTGTTCCGTTCGAACTTTTTCAATTCTCAGAATGTATTTCTGAAACTTATTTGGGACAGAAGGGCAATTCACATCAAACTTCAATACCGTTTTCATTTTTTTTTGTTTCATGATAGATATTCGGATAAGAGGGACTCTTCCCTGGTTTGAATCAAATAAAATAAAGATCCAATAATAATAAAACTGAGGAGCTACAGGACGTTGAAGTGCATTTATGAAACCTCAATTCACCCATTGAAGTCGGAAGAACCATTGCACAACTTCGTCTTCATAATAAATATATTATTAAACTCATATTGAGTGGCTCACCTTATAGAATAGAACCGAGGAAAATTCGTATAATTTGTAACATGGAAGAACTAACACTATAGAAAATATATTGTTTGAGTGCCCAATTTGTTGTGCAATGAAACCCTAAAATTGTGCGATACAGTTTTTAATTGAACCATATTTTTTCTTCTGACTAGATTTGATTTATTAATTATCAAAAATGCGAAATAGTATATTATACAACATCGCGGAAGGATATACTCTGTCGTGTTTATTCAGCATAGCATTTTTTTTATGTTCTGGTTCCCACGAAAGGGGATATCCTGTAATGTTCAGAGAACATCGTGAGAACCAAGGAAAATAAGGTAGGAATTGGTGTTCTTCTTGAATTTCTGGAGGTTATATGCCTCGGGGAATAGTGAAAGGAAAAAAAATTGTGGCAATTTAAGTGACAGTGTTTTTGATATGGAAGCATTTACCCCTTCATAGGGATACTGATAAATATCGCAAGTAGATATCAAAAATACACTGTTCATTGAAATTATTTGAGAATATTCAAACCTTATTAACATCTCAGAAACTACCGTTGAACTGATGTATGTACGTTATAAATCATATCAATCTAATAACAATTATTATTCTCTTATATATCGAAGACTGGAACCTTTGGCACGATAATACACTACACTGTTTTACCACTAACCAAACCGATTTTTTAACGCCTCGACACGTGTTTCGCTAACTATGTTAGCATCTTCAGGAGAAGATTAAAACTAAATATCCTATTCTACTGTGCTGCTTATATACTAGGTATATGTTCACCCAACTGTGAAATATACTAACCGTCAAGTTAATATTTGTCATGGTTGAGTTCACATGTTAATCTTAATAAACTATATAGAGGGCTATATGGAATAGGTCCATTATCCTTATTCATTACTCTATCACTATTCTTAAATATCTCTAAGCTTTCATATGCGTCTAGTTTTCTAATGTTATTAACTTGCTCAACTAATTTGAGGTTAGTAATATGTGTGTTATGATTGTGATTGAACATATGTTCGGCTACACAAGATTTATCTAACCTGCCATATTTTAAATGGGCTATGTGTTCTTTGAACCTTGTTTTTATGGGTCGCCTGGTTTGGCCTATATATGTTTTATCACAATCATTACAACTTATTTCGTATATTCCCGACTTTTCAAGTGTGTCCACTTTATCTTTCGGATTGCCTAATAAATTGCCTAATTTTGACCCAGACTGATAAACGCTTTCAAAACCTAAGTCTTTGAAAACCTTATCGAGTCCCTTCGTATACTTGGGATTGTACGGGATTGGGATTCTTCTAGAGTTCTTTTTATCCGCTTGAAAAGTCGTAGAATATCGAAGTGTTGACTTAAATTTATGTCTACGTATTAATTTATCTACTATTTTGATATCATACCCATTGACGCCAGCCACTTTATAAACAACATTTCTTTCAGCATTGAATCTTTCTTGGCTGAGAGGAAAGGAAATCAATCTGTGTACTAGAAAATTTAAACTTGCCATTTTGTGCTGAAAACAGTGATTGGAGTCATTAGGTATGTATCTAAATGTGTTAGTTTCTTTTCTAAAGACATCAAATTCTAAGTTGTTTTCGCTATTTTTGATCACAAGTACATCTAAGAAAGGTAATTTGCCTTGATTTTCGCATTCATAAGTGAATTTGATAGAGGGGAAGCAGTTATTCAATTTTGAAATAAAGTTATCAATATCTGTGGTTTTTGTATCAAAAATAGCAAAAATATCATCGACATATCTAATCCAAACCCTAGGGAAATACTCGAACTTTTCTTTTGCATTCCCTTCAAATCGATTCATGAACAGTTCAGCCAGGAAAGGCGATAAACAATTTCCCATAGCTGTACCTTCATGTTGTTCAAAAAATTCTTGTTTATATTGAAAAATATTTTGGCTCATGCAGAGATTAGTGAGATCAACCAATTCTTTAATATTATCTGGATCTAGATTGTTATATTCGAGTAATTCCTTTAAATATTCCAAAGTTGTTGGTATGGGTACACTTGGGAAAAGTGATGAAACATCAAATGATATAAGAATTTCACCTTCGGTCAGATTCAACCCTTTGACCTTTTCGATAAATTCAAGCGAATTGGAAACAGAATGATTGTTATAAGGATTATTCAAAGTTTTGAAAACTTCAACCAACCACTTTGAAATATTGTAAGTAGGAGACCCAATTGCGGATACAATTGGCCTCATTTTCTTACCGGGTTTGTGTATTTTTGGTAAACAATATAGTCTTGGTACGCTTGGGTTAGATATTTGTAATTTATATTTATTATGTGCAGTAATAAGGTTTGGGCATTTATTCAAAATTGATTTGACTTGACTGACCATTTTAGGTAATGGATTCCTCGTTAGTTTCCTATAAGGGCCATCTTCAATGAGATTGTCAACCCTTTGAAAATAATCCTGTTTATCCAAAATAACAACCTTATTACCTTTATCAGCTTTTAAGTAAAAGCATTCTTTTTCTTTCAATCCTTTGATAATATTTTGAGTTCTCCGTTGGGAGTTATGTTTATGATTGATTACATTTTTGGAAATTTGTTTCCTAACCGCTTCTCTGGCAAATCCTTTTGAAGAATTAGGGAGATATTGAATCGCGGATTCAACACTCACTATTACTTCATCGAGACTGTCCTTTGAAGCAGAAGGGACAAAATTTAGGCCTTAATTCAGAAGGTTGAGTTCTTCATTACTAAAGGATTGAGAGGAATGGTTTTCAACAATGGTGATGGGCTCCTCATATATTGGTTTTGATTTATTTATTCCAAGTTTCTTCAGTTTTCTTGCCGAAAACATTCAGTCTTTCCGAACTTCATGAAGATTACTCTGCCACATTCTTCAAATGTTGCCAAGAAAGTTGAAATTCTTGCAAAACAGAAATGGCTGGATTTAGAAATCAAATATCTCTATGGAAAACGCAGTATGCTTGAACTTGAAGCATACGAAATTTATAAAAAACTAACATATAGACTAAGTAACATTGAGTTTGAACAATGGTGTGAATTCCAGAGAAAAATGTTCGCCGTAATTGAAGTCAAATATATTCAGAAATTTTCCTCTCTGAACAAAAAACTGAAGAAACTTGGAATAAATAAATCAAAACCAATATATGAGGAGCCCATCACCATTGTTGAAAACCATTCCTCTCAATCCTTTAGTAATGAAGAACTCAACCTTCTGAATAAAGGCCTAAATTTTGTCCCTTCTGCTTCAAAGGACAGTCTTTCCGAACTTCATGAAGATTACTCTGCCACATTCTTCAAATGTTGCCAAGAAAGTTGAAATTCTTGCAAAACAGAAATGGCTGGATTTAGAAATCAAATATCTCTATGGAAAACGCAGTATGCTTGAACTTGAAGCATACGAAATTTATAAAAAACTAACATATAGACTAAGTAACATTGAGTTTGAACAATGGTGTGAATTCCAGAGAAAAATGTTCGCCGTAATTGAAGTCAAATATATTCAGAAATTTTCCTCTCTGAACAAAAAACTGAAGAAACTTGGAATAAATAAATCAAAACCAATATATGAGGAGCCCATCACCATTGTTGAAAACCATTCCTCTCAATCCTTTAGTAATGAAGAACTCAACCTTCTGAATAAAGGCCTAAATTTTGTCCCTTCTGCTTCAAAGGACAGTCTTTCCGAACTTCATGAAGATTACTCTGCCACATTCTTCAAATGTTGCCAAGAAAGTTGAAATTCTTGCAAAACAGAAATGGCTGGATTTAGAAATCAAATATCTCTATGGAAAACGCAGTATGCTTGAACTTGAAGCATACGAAATTTATAAAAAACTAACATATAGACTAAGTAACATTGAGTTTGAACAATGGTGTGAATTCCAGAGAAAAATGTTCGCCGTAATTGAAGTCAAATATATTCAGAAATTTTCCTCTCTGAACAAAAAACTGAAGAAACTTGGAATAAATAAATCAAAACCAATATATGAGGAGCCCATCACCATTGTTGAAAACCATTCCTCTCAATCCTTTAGTAATGAAGAACTCAACCTTCTGAATAAAGGCCTAAATTTTGTCCCTTCTGCTTCAAAGGACAGTCTCGATGAAGTAATAGTGAGTGTTGAATCCGCGATTCAATATCTCCCTAATTCTTCAAAAGGATTTGCCAGAGAAGCGGTTAGGAAACAAATTTCCAAAAATGTAATCAATCATAAACATAACTCCCAACGGAAAACTCAAAATATTATCAAAGGATTGAAAGAAAAAGAATGCTTTTACTTAAAAGCTGATAAAGGTAATAAGGTTGTTATTTTGGATAAACAGGATTATTTTCAAAGGGTTGACAATCTCATTGAAGATGGCCCTTATAGGAAACTAACGAGGAATCCATTACCTAAAATGGTCAGTCAAGTCAAATCAATTTTGAATA